CAAGCAACAGCAACACACAGCCAGCTACAGCAACACACATCAAGCAACAACAGCACACAGCAAGCTACAGCACAACAAGCAACAGCAACACACAACACGCTACAGCAACACACATCAAGCAACAGCAACACACAGCAAACAGCAGCATCACACAGCAACACACAAAAATCAACAGAAAAACACAGCAAGCTACAGCACCACACAACAAGCAACAGCAACACACAGCCAGCTACAGCAACACACATCAAGCAACAACAACACACAGCAAGCTACAGCACAACACAACAAGCAATTGCAACACACCGCCAGCTACAGCAACACACAGCAAGCAACAGCAACACACAACAAGCTACCGCAAAACACAGCAAGCTACAACAACACAAGTTACAGCAACACAAAGCAAGCTACAGCAACACACAGCAAGCTTCAACACATACAGCAAGCTGCAGAACACACAACAGGCTAAAGAAATACCCAGCAAGATAGAGCAACACACAACAACAGGAACACACAGCAACATACAGACACACACAGCTAGATACAGCAACGCACAGGAAAATACAGCAACACACAACAACATACAGCAAAATACAGCAACATACAGCAACACACAGCAAGATACAGAAACACACAGCTAGATACAGCAATACATAGCAAGATACAGCAACAAAACAGCAAGATGCAGCAACACACATCAAGATACAGCAACACACAGCAAGATACAGAAACACACATTAAGATACAGAAACACACAGCACGATACAGCAACGCACAGCAAGATATAGCAACACACAGCAAGATTCAGCCACACATAGCAAGATATAGCAACACACAAGCTACAGCAACACACAAGCTACAGCAACACACAATATGATGCAGAAACACACAGTAATATACAGCACCACACAGCAAGATATAGCAACACACAGCAACACACAGCAAGCAACAGCAACACACAGTAAGCAACAGCAACACACAGAAAGCTACAGCAACACACAAGAAGCTACAGCAACACACAACAAGCAACAGCAACACACAGTAAGCAACAGCAACACACAAGAAGCTACAGCAACACACAACAAGCAACAGCAACACGCAACAAGCCACAGTAACAAACAAGCTACAGCAACACACAGTAAGCAACAGCAACACACAGCAAGCTACAGCAACACACAGCAAGCTACAGCAACACACAGCAAGCTACAGCAACACACAGCAAGCTACAGCAACACACAGCAAGCTACAGCAATACACAGCAAGTTATTGCAACGCTCAACTAAAAAAAGCAACACACAGCAAGCTATAAAAACACACAACAGGCAACAGCAACACACGGCATGCAGCAGAAAAACACAGGAAGCTACAGCAACACAGAACAAAATACAGCCACAAACAAAAAGCTACAGCAATACACTGTTAGCTACAGCAACACACAACAAGCAACAGGAACACACAACAGGCTACAACAACACAGAATGCTACAGCAACACAGAACAAAATACAGTCAAACACAGAAAGCTACAGCAACACACAACAGGCTACAGCAACACACAGCAAGCTACAGCAATACACAGCAAGCTTCACCAACACACACAGCAAGCTGCAGCAACACACACAGCAAGCTGCAGCAACAAACACAGCAAGCTGCCACCTGCAACAACACAACAGCCAGCTGCAGCAACACACAAGCCACCTGCAGCAACACAATAACCACCTGCAGCAACACACAACAACCTGCAGCAACACACAACAACCTGCAGCAACACACAACAAGCTGCAGCAACACACAACAAGCTGCAGCAACACACAACAACCTGCAGCAACACACAACAACCTGCAGCAACACACAACAAGCTGCAGCAACACACAACAAGCTGCAGCAACACACAAAGACAACCTGCAGCAACCAAACAACAACAGCAGCAACACAGAGCAAGCTACAGCAACACAGAGCTAAATACAGCAACACACAGTAAGCTGCAGCAACACACAGCAAGCTACATCAACACACAACAAGCTGCAGCAAAACACAGCAAGCTACAGGAACACACTACAAGCTGCAGCAACACACAAAGTGCGTTAGCAACACGCAACAAGTTGCAGCAACACATTGCAAGCTACAGCAACACAGAGCTAAATACAGCAACATAATAACCAGCTACAGCAACACAGAACAAGCTACAGCAACACAATAAGCCAGCTGCAGCAACATAATAGCAAGCTGCAGCAACACAATAGCCAGCTACAGCAACATAATACAGCAAGCTAAAGCAACACAATAACAAGTTGCAGCAACACACATTAAGCCACCTTCAGCAACACAATAAGCCCTTGCAGCAACAAAACAGCCAGCTACAGCAACACAACAGCCGCCTGCAGCAACACAACAACAAGCTATAGCAACACACAGTAAGCGACTGCAACACACAGCAAGCCAACAGCAGCACACAGCAATCAACAGCAGCAACACAATAAGCCACCTGCAGCACACAATAAGCCTCCTGCAGCAACACAATAACTAGCTGCAGCAACACAATAAGCAAGCTGCAGCAACACAATAAGCAAGCTGCAGCAACACATTAGCAAGCTGCAGCAACACAATAAGCCAGCGACAGCAACGCACGCCATCTACAGCAACACACTAGCATGCTGCAGCAACACAATAAGCCATCTGCAGCAACACACGGGAATCTGCAGGAACACAACACAGAACAAGCCACCTACAGCAACACAATAAGCCAGCTGCAGCAACACAAAAAGCCACCTGCAGCAACACAGTAAGACACCTGCAGCACCACAATAAGCCAGCTGCAGCAACACAATAAGCCAGCTGCAGTAACACAATGAGCCACATGCATCAACACAATAAACCAGCTACAGCAACACAATAAGTAAGTTGCAGCAACACAGTAAGCCACCTGCAGCAACACAATAGCTACCTGCATCAACACAATTATCAAGCTGCAGCAACACAATGAGCCACTTGCAGCAACACACTAAGGCACCTGTAGCAACACAATAAGCCAGCTGCAGCAACACAATAAGCCACCTGCAGCAACACAATAAGCCGCCTGCAGCGACACAATAAAGCCAACAGCAGCAACACAATAAGCCACCTGCAACATCACAATATGCCAGCTGCAACAACACAATAAGCCAGCTGCAGCAACACAGTAAGCCAGCTGCAGCAACACACTAAGACACCTGCAGCAACACAATATGCCAGCTGGAGCAACACAATAAGCCAGCTGTAGCAACACAATAAGCCACCTGCAGCAACACACTAAGACACCTGCAGCAACACACTAACGTAGCTGGAGCAACACACTAAGCAAGCTACAGCAACACAATAAGCCAGCTACAGCAGCACACTAAGCAACCTGCAGCAACACAATACGCCACCTTGCAGCAACACAATAAGCCAGATTCAGCAACACAAAAACCCAGCTACATCAATACACAAAGTCACTTGCAGCAACACAATAAGCCAGATTCAACAACACAAAAACCCAGCTACATCAATACACAAAGCCACTTGCAGCAACACATTAAGCGAGCAGCATCAACACACACTACGCCACCTGCAGCAACACACTAAGCAAGCTTCAGCAACACAATGAGCTAGCTGCAGCAACACAATTAACCACAAGCAGCAACATAACAAGCCACCTACAGCAACACAATAGGCCAGCTACGGCAACACAATAAGCCAGCTGCAGCAACACAATATGCCAGCTGCAGCAACACACTAAGACACCTGCAGCAACACACTAAGACACCTGCAGCAACACAATAAGCCAGCTGCAGCAACAAAATAAGCCAGATGCAGCAACGCAATAAGCCAGCTGCAGCAACATAATAAGCCAGCTCCAGCAACACAATAACCAGCTCCAGCAACACAATAAGCTAGCTCCAGCAACACAATAAGCCAGCTGCAACAACACAATAAGCCAGCTGCAGCAACACAATAAGCCAGCTGCAGCAACACAATAAGCCAGCTGCAGCAACACAATAAGACACCTGCAGCAACACAATAAGCCAGCTGCAGCAACACAATAAGCCAGCTGCAGCAACACAATAAGCCAGCTGCAGCAACACAATAAGCCAGCTGCAGCAACACAATAAGCCAGCTGCAGCAACACAATAAGCCAGCTGCAGCAACACAATAAGCCACCTGCAGCAACACAATAAGCCACCTGCAGCAACACAATAAGCCAGCTGCAGCAACACAATAAGCCAGCTGCAGCAACACAATAAGCCAGCTGCAGCAACACAATAAGCCAGCTGCAGCAACACAATAAGCCAGCTGCAGCAACACAATAAGCCACCTGCAGCAACACACTAAGACACCTGCAGAAACACAATAAGCCAGCTGCAGCAACACAATAAGCCAGCTCCAGCAACACAATAAGCCAGCTGCAGCAACACAATAAGCCAGCTCCAGCAACACAATAAGCCAGCTGCAACAACACAATAAGCCACCTAACACAGCAACACACTGCAGCAAAGACACCTGCAGAAACACAATAAGCCAGCTGCAGCAACACAATAGCCAGCTGCAGCAACACAATAAGCCAGCTCCAGCAACACAATAAGCCAGCTGCAGCAACACAATAAGCCAGCTCCAGCAACACAATAAGCCAGCTGCAACAACACAATAAGCCACCTCCAGCAACACACTAAGACACCTGCAGAAACACAATAAGCCAGCTGCAGCAACACAATAAGCCAGCTGCAGCAACACAATAAGCCAGCTCCAGCAACACAATAAGCCAGCTGCAGCAACACAATAAGCCAGCTCCAGCAACACAATAAGCCAGCTGCAGCAACACAATAAGCCAGCTGCAGCAACACTAAGAAGTAGAGTAGCAGGAGCACACGAGCCCTGGAAGGCACTAAGCATGTTCTTATCCTCACATCTCCTTTATCTTCCGTAAACCAGTCCATTTTTTGTTTTTTATTGTAAAGTAAAATTATTTAACAAAACAGCCATAGTTGACTTAGTTTGTAGATGGCAACACAGATGACGGCTGAGGAGGTGAAGGGATCAGAACTGGAGCACCACCTCCACCAGTCTCCTGCTCCGGGCGCCGGGGCTCCGGGCGCCGGGGCTCCGGGCGCCGGGGCTCCGGGCGCCGGGGCTCCGGGCGCCGGGGCTCCGGGCGCCGGGGCTCCGGGCGCCGGGGCACCGGGCGCCGGGGCTCCGGGCGCCGGGGCTCCGGGCGCCGGGGCTCCGGGCGCCGGGGCTCCGGGCGCCGGGGCTCCGGGCGCCGGGGCTCCGGGCGCCGGGGCTCCGGGCGCCGGGGCTCCGGGCGCCGGAACTCCGGGCGCCGGAACTCCGGGCGCCGGAACTCCGGACGCCGGAACTCCGGGCGCCGGAACTCCGGGCGCCGGAACTCCGGGCGCCGGAACTCCGGGCGCCGGGGCTCCGGACGCCGGGGCTCCGGGCGCCGGTTCTCTGGACGCCGGGTCTCCGGGCGCCGGAACTCTGGGCGCCGGGTCTCTGGACGCCGGAACTCTGGACGACGGGTCTCTGGACGACGGGGCACCGGGCGCCGGTTCTCTGGACGACGGGTCTCTGGACCACGACGGGGCTCTGGACGACGGGGCTCTGGACGACGGGGCTCTGGACGACGGGGCACTGGGCGCCGGGGCACTGGGCGCCTGGGCGGTTCTGGGCGGAGGTTCTGGGCGCCGGGGTTCTGGGCGCCGGGGTTCTGGGCGCCGGGACTCTGGACGCCTGGGGCAGTGTGGGTTACCTTGGCGATGGTTAGTGTCTTGGGTACCTGGATGTCTAGTGTCTTGGGTACCAGGTTTTCCACCGTGTGGCCCACCGTGTCCACCGCGTGGAGTACTGTGTGGCCCACCGTGTCCACCGCGTGGAGTACCGTGTGGCCCACCGTGTCCACCGCGTGGAGTACCACGTGGTCCACCGTGTTGTCCACCTCACTGAGTACCGTGTGGCCAACCGTGTCCACCGCGTGGAGTACCATGTGGTCCACCGTGTTGTCCACCGCGCGGAGTACCGTGTGGCCCACCGTATCCACCGCGTGGAGTACCATGTGGTCCACCGTGTTGTCCACCGCGCGGAGTACCGTGTGGCCCACCGTGTCCACCGCGTGGAGTACCATGTCGTCCACCGTGTTGTCCACCGCGCGGAGTACCGTGTGGCCCACCGTGTGCACCGCGTGGAGTACCATGTGGTCCACCGCACGGAGTACCGTGTGGCCCACCGTGTCCACCATGTGGAGAACCGTGTGGAGTACCTTGCTCTCCTCACTGTGGACATCCGTGTGGGTCTTCTGCTCGACCTCAGAGCAGTGTGCTCAACTTTGGTTCATGAACCTCTACTTAACATTGGCCTCCTTCTCTCCCGCCGACACGGCTTCCGTCACTCTGGCCGAGTTCTTCCACCGAGGCGCGGTATACTTTAATACCTGCGCTCAGTGTTGTAGTAGAGGCGCTCAGAGCCAAGGAGTTCTCTCCCATTACAGAAGCCGTAAGCTGTCTGACAGCGGCGCCAAGTTCTTGGAGAGAGGCTCTTCGTTCTTCAACACTGTCACCGAGTATCCCGGTGATGAGTTTACTGATCGCGGTGAAGACTTCTATGCTCAGGGGATGGAGTTCTATGACAATTTCACTGACGACCAGGATAATAAAGATCAGTTCTGTGAGCAACGCTCGCTATTTGCTGAGCGTCGTTCACAGGTTACTGAACGTGGCTCTCATTGCCGAGGCAAAGAGAGGAAGTGGAAAAAGTTTCTATGGATATCCATAGTAGCTGTGATTGGCGCTGTGGCTGTGTTCTATTTCAAGTGTATCCCACCCTACAATTCCTATGTAATAGGAAATCCTGTGGTACCACCCAGGGTACCAGGAATTCCTATTCCTCCATCCCCACCCCTTCCCTCGGTATCAAATAGTCTTGCCCCTCCTCTTCCACTTCCATCCCCACCCATACCACAAACATATAAAATTCCTCCACCTCCACCCCCACGCCCAGCACAGACACCAAAATTCCCTCCACCTCCACCCGCACGCCCAGCACAGACAGCAAAAGTTCCTACCCCTCCACCTCCACCCCCACACCCAGCACAGACACCAAAAATTCCTACCCCTCCACCTCCACCCCCACACCCAGCACAGACAGCAAAAGTTCCTACCCCTCCACCTCAAGCATTGGTCCTAAAGGCGCCTACCCCTCCACTTCCACCTCCTCCACTTCAGTTCTCCGACAGTGGCCATCATGGCACTTTCTTACAGGATGAAGAAGAAGACTTCTGGCCACCACACAGTGACGACAGCGAGTCGGAGGAAGAGGTTAGGATTAACCGTAAAGACCTCGCTCAAAAATTCTTCAAGAAAATGTTTTGAGCGGAACAAGTCCGGTGGTGGCCAGTCCGGTGGTGGCCAGTCCGGTGGTGGCCAGTCCGGTGGTGGCCAGTCCGGTGGTGGCCAGTCCGGTGGTGGCCAGTCCGGTGGTGGCCAGTCCGGTGGTGGCCAGTCCGGTGGTGGACAGTCCAGTCCTGTGTTATCTATCTCGTTTGGTTTCTGCTATTTATCATCATTTTATTTTTTGTATGCTTTTAACTAGATTTAATTAGATTTACAGAATTTATTTTTAAATTTTCATTCGTATTTTAATTTTTCTAAGTAATTATTTTATGTCATGCCACTAAACATTTCCAGAGACATGGCCACTAAACATTTCCAGAGGCCACTAAACATTTCCAGAGACATACACTGGCCACTAAACATTTCCAGAGACATACATGGCCACTAAACTGGCCACTAAACATTTCCAGAGACATACACTGGCCACTAAACATTTCCAGAGACATACACTGGCCACTAAACATTTCCAGAGACATACACTGGTCACTAAACCTTTCCAGAGACATTCAATGGTCACTAAACCTTTCCAGAGACATTCAATGGTCACTAAACATTTCCAGAGACATTCAATGGTCACTAAACCTTTCCAGAGACATTCAATGGTCACTAAACCTTTCCAGAGACATTCAATGGTCACTAAACATTTCCAGAGACATACACTGGCCATTAAACACTTCCAGAGACATACACTGGCCACTAAACATTTCCAGAGACATACACTGGCCACTAAACCAGAGACATACACTGGCCACTAAACATTTCCAGAGACATACACTGGCCACTAAACATTTCCAGAGACATACACTGGCCACTAAACATTTCCAGAGACATACACTGGCCACTAAACATTTCCAGAGACATACACTGGCCACTAAACATTTCCAGAGACATACACTGGCCACTAAACATTTCCAGAGACATACACTGGCCACTAAACATTTCCAGAGACATACACTGGCCACTAAACATTTCCAGAGGCCACTAAACATTTCCAGAGACATACACTGGCCACTAAACATTTCCAGAGACATACACTGGCCACTAAACATTTCCAGAGACATACACTGGCCACTAAACATTTCCAGAGACATACACTGGCCACTAAACATTTCCAGAGACATACACTGGCCACTAAACATTTCCAGAGACATACACTGGCCACTAAACATTTCCAGAGACATACACTGGCCACTAAACATTTCCAGAGACATACACTGGCCACTAAACATTTCCAGAGATATACACTGGCCACTAAACATTTCCAGAGACATACACTGGCCACTAAACATTTCCAGAGACATACACTGGCCACTAAACATTTCCAGAGACATACACGTTATGTGCTTTATGTCAAGAGGACGAAGAGTATTAGTAAGAGTTTTGAGTTCAGATATGAAGGGAAGGCAGATGACAACGCATTATAATAGTGGTGGAAGCAGGTTTAAAGGTTGGAGAATAGGCACAGTTGATCAAATGTAAGGGGGTAACCAAGGAGAGAGACAGATGATGCTGATGAGTAGAGTACGGAGGAAGAGAGACGAGGACACTTTTCTTAACAGAAGGAGGATGGTAGGAAAAGAAGTGACTGAACATGCACTATGCATGGGTTTGCGGTAGATAGAGAAAGAGAACCCGGACACAGAGCTCTGATCATGAACGGAAAAGACTAAGGTCATGAGGCGATAAAGCAAAAATGCCATCAACATAACGAAGCCAGAAAGAGGGACGAATATCAATAGTGGGAATATGAACGGTTTCAAAGTATTCCCTAAACAAGAAAACAACCAATACGGAACATACAGTCATAAATTTAAACATGTCTAAAGATAACCAGGTGTGTGTGTACTCACCTAGTTGTACTCACCTAGTTGTGTTTGCGGGGGTTGAGCTCTGGCTCTTTGGTCCTGCCTCTCAACCGTCAATCAACAGGTGTACAGGTGTACTTTATCATATCTACACTTGAAACTGTGTATGGAGTAAGCCTCTACCACATCATTTCCTAATGCATTCCATTTGTCAACCACTCTGACACTAAAAAAGTTCTTTCTAATATCTCTGTGGCTCATTTGGGCACACAGTTTCCACCTGTGTCCCCTAGTGTGTGTGCCCCTTGTGTTAAATAACCTGTCTTTATCTTCCCAATCAATTCCCTTCAGAATCTTGAATGTGGTGATCATGTCCCCTCTAACTCTTCTGTCTTCTAGCGAAGTGAGGTTTACTTCCCGTAGTCTCTCCTCGTAGCTCATACCTCTCAGCTCGGGTACTAGTCTGGTGTCCTTCAGCTTGTCTAGGTCTTCTTGAAGCCTCAAACAGTCCTCTTCTGTCTTAATTCTGATGTGTGTGTGTGTGTGTGTGTGTGTGTGTGTGTGTGTGTGTGTGTGTGTGTGTGTGTGTGTGTGTGTGTGTGTGTGGGAGTACCACCTCTGGCTGGACGAATAGGGACCTTAGTCTCGGAGGAAACCACGCATAAAGCATTAGAGGGGAATGTTTAGATCCCCTCTAATACAGTTTCTGTGTGCTTTTCTCCTACCACCCCCTTCCGTTTTTGTGCTTTATTATGTATTTGATGGTTACAAGATATACATGGGTTGATACAAAAATAATACAAAAAGTGCTTAAAGGTTATGGATCTCTTGAAAAACACGACAATGGGAAACATTGATGAATGTCACAGACGGGTTCGATCATTGTTGCAAGTCAAACACTTCTTCGAATTCCTCTGAAGTTGGACTAGTGCCCAAGACGCAACAGGCATTCCCTCTCTGAATTGCAACACTGAGGCGCTGGAAAAAGAAACTTTTTGCTCTATGATCTTTTCTAGTGCTGATCAATTCGTCCCCCAATTCCTTCAAGAACAATGCTGATGCACATTCTCCCCACGAACCGGGGGTCTCCGAGCCGATCGGAAGAAAGCTGTAGCAGTGTGCCAGACCTCTGTATTTAATAACTTTCTGTGATTCCCTGAAAGAAGCAGCACCACCGCTTTCACGTGTGCTGTAGTGGAGGTAGGTACTGGCCAGTGTGGCAGCGCACGTGTAGTCCCAAACCACTAGCTTACCATCCTTCCAAGGAATCAAGGTGACCCCATCTGGGCGCTTCTGAGGGTTGTTAGGTCTGAATAAGTGTGGTTCTCTTTGTGCCGGGCTGAGGGCTGTGGCGAGGCTCCTCTTGATGATGTCATTGACATCTTCATGTCTTGCAATCTTACCCTGTGATTTACGACATACCAGACTATGACGACCATATTGGTCTGCCATCGCAGTACTGCAGATGCACCCATGTTTGGTGAGGATGGGGGCAGCAAGGCGAAGGGCAACTCCAATGCGGAGAGCATCAAGATTGAGGCAAGTTCCCAGGGCTGCATTGGGCACAGCAAATAAAAAATCCCAGGCGTGGGGTGCTGTTACCACTAGGAGGCGGGCTTTGTTTTCAGCCTCAGCGTTGTCAATCATTGCTGTGACAGTTTTTTTCATTGTAGGGCTATCCTAGTGGGCCTGCTTGTGGTCTTTTGGGGCTTTTGGTCGGGGTTGAGAGTGTGCAATGGTGTCCATTGGCTTTGGCAATGGTCCATTAGCAATGGTCTGGCTGCTTCGATGAACGTTAGGTCATGAGTTCCCACTGTGTCTCTCATACGCTCTGGTAGGATCTGCCCTACCAATTTGTTGGCTGCTGTACATGAGGATAAGAATGGTGGAAGTGCTACCTCAGTTGCCTTTCGTATGCCTATCCCCCCAAATCTCACTGGTAGTGTTGCTTGGTCCCACTGACTGTCATCTAAATCTAGGTTGAGCGCCTTCCTGAATATTGACCTGAGGAGCTCAGTAAAATGTGTACTTGGATGAAAAAACGA